TGATCGGTTTTTCAAGGGTAGTGTAAATGGGGGTAAATAGAAACTGGAGCTCCTTCTCCTGTTCCTACCTACTATTCCTTCGCCTTTTGCGAGGTCAACAGAACTCTATCCTAGAAGAGATATGCGGACAGCCTTTAGACTAACCAATGTCGTTACGTGTTGGAAGTGCAAATAAAGGATGCTGGTCCAATTGGAACTACAGCCTTCTGAAAGAGAACTACAGTATCCATGTTACACTAATGTACCAAGCGGCTAAAGCTCTGCATTATAAAACCAAGTATGTATTTTCTTTGTTAAACTCCATGAGGTGGACTGTGCCTATACGTTCTGTGACTTGTAATGCCACAGCCATATTGTTAATTCTGAACATTGTTGGAACAGGGTGCAGGTTTGCTGTGCTCCCAAAGCTATAAAGCCTTGGCACCCCCACCTCTCTTTCTCCTGCCCGTGGAAGCTCCCCAAACACAGCCACAATGGGAGAGGACCATCTTAACGAGAGACCTGGAACCAGAAAACTCTGACAGTCTGAAAGTTACTTTATTACATATCAAATAGCATAAAGTTATAATACACCCAAAGGATTGTGAGCAACAGTGTAGCTAGTGGACAGGAACCTCAGGAGGTCCCTATGCTAAATTAACAATGACAATCCACTAGAGCATTGGCTACTGTAGATACTTAGAACAGATCAACATGTGGATGCACCATCATTTTCTTTAAATAAATAAAAACAAAACTTCTTTGGACTAAAGGTGCACTAGACCAGCTTCAGTTACAACAGCTAACTACTGATTGTGGCTCAAATCTTGGTGTCATGATGACTCAGACCTCAATTCAGACGGAGGGACAGGGTGCAACAAATATTGTTTTTTTAATTGGCCAAAATTTGGAATTGCATCCATAAATACATTTTATGCCAAAATTGAAAGATGTCCAATAGCTTCGATAAGATGTTTATAAAGGTGGCGGTGCGCCCAAAGAAAATGGCCATATCGCTTCACCTGCTTTGATTATGGTAGAGTATTAAAAAAAAGCACCGTTGTAGGTAATTCTGCTTTCCGTTTTAATTTATAATGGATGACCATCCATACTCTTTACCCATTGAGAGGGAAGAGAAAGAAACCAAGAAAATAAATGAATTACCAGGAGAAAACAAGAGTCTACGTTGTGGTAGTTTTTACCAGGTGGAGATGATTCATGTGGGAACAAGGCTTCCAAAGGGACACTGAGGTTGCAGACTTTTGGCTGGACAGGTAAGTCAGTTCTACATAACTGTGAATTTTATTTTGATTTCCAATTTAATGACATCATCTGCACCATGGTGAACCCCACCCTGGACCTGCTGCAGTTTGTGTATCGACCCAACATCGGTGTAGAGGACGCCATCATCTACCCCCTGCAGCGGGAGCTCACCAACCTGGAGACTGCTGGGAGCACTGTGAGAGTCATGTTGCTGAGGGGGAAGCTGGGGGACGATGGAGTGGACAAACATTTGGCTTCCTGGACCATCAACTACCTCGCTGACCGCCCTCAGTACCTGCGGCTGCACGACTGTGGGCTGTGTTTCTGAGGATAACGAGCTCGGTCATCATGGTCTTTGTGGACTGGTGTGAGATCAACCACCTGTGTTTAAACACCAGTAAGACCAAATAGATGGTGATCCACTTCAGGAGAAGACCCCCATCTCACTCTGCTGTGAACATCCAGGGGCAGGACAAAGAAACTAAGTTTGAACTACCTGGGTGTTCACATCAACAATAAACTGAAATGGACTCATAAAACCAATGACCTGTACAAGAAGGGCTAGAGCCGCCTCCGACTCCTGAGGAGGCTGAGGCCCTTTGGAGTGAGCAGGCCCCTGCTAAAACCTTTCTATGACTTTGTAGTGGAATCAGCCCTCTTCTACGCTGTTGTCTGCAGGGCCCCTGGCAGTGCAGAGCAGGACAGAAAGAGTCTGAACAAACTGGTGAGAAAAGCCACTTCTATCCTAACAATCGGCATTTGGCTCCTTTCCGACTGGCAAAAAAAAAGTTTGGTCTAACCTCTAGCTGGCCAGCTGTGTTGCCTCTGTCCCTGCATGACTGTGTGTAAGGTGACATCATCACGCTGTGTTAGCATCGATGATGTCACCAGTGCGACAGAAATCATAAAAGTAAACAATGGAGAGCAAAATGGAAGGAAGCAAGGGCTTAGCCAGTGTGCTTTATGGTTTTGCTGTAATATCTGTCCAAATCTGTCTTAAGGGAAAAGTCCGGTCATATTCAGAATTCAGACTTCTGAAAGTACTTTAAATATGAAATTATTACATACTGTTCAATAAATGACAAGTGTTTTTAATTAAAATGTATTTATTAAGAGTTAATTAAGATTGCTTTACTGGAGAGATCCATGTTTGTCAAAGAACACTACTGCCACCTACTGGTTAGTGACGTCACGGTGCGGTATCGGCTGTTGATCAAGTCCCAGTGCTGTATCTGACTAACCAAAATAAACATGGCAGCACAGGAGGTTGTTCACAAACCTGCTGCTATCACATCTGTTTTATCAAAATCCATGATTTCATCATTGATAGAGGAACAGCAAGAGCATAACGCTGTAAGTTCTTGTGGTTTCTCAGGGCATCTGCTTCTATTTCATTTGTTACCATGATTGGCTAAAACCAAACTTAGGCCCAATTTGCTTGTAAGGTTCTCTTGAATGTCCCTCCTGCCCTAAACAGATTTTGTCATTATCTCACCTGCCTTTCTCCACCAAGTTCTCTTTACCATTCATCTGATCCACCTGCTTCAGTCTCTATTTAACCAGCCTTCAATCAGTCATCAGTGCCAGATTATTCAACCCTTTGTTGAGAGTTCTCTAGGATTCCTGTATGTTCTGATTGCCTTATCCTGACCCGTTCTGCCTCTGGACGTCGGAGACTGCCTGTCCCTATTCTGATCTGTTTGCCTGACCTGTTCTACTTGGTTCTGATCTCCAGTCTCTCCCCTAAACTCTCAGACACCAGCGCCTGGGACTCTCTGGGTGGCGTCTCATTGCCATCTTACCAGCTAGAACCAACCTCATCCTCTGGGCTGGGACTGAACTTTAAGACCAGGTTAGTGACTCACACGTTCATTATCATCCTCCTCCAGACAGATGTGGTCTCTAACCTGTGTTCTCCTTAGCAGAGGTTCCTGCATTTGATGCTGTTCCTTTCAAATAAACACTTTGTTAAATCTAATTGTCTCTCTGCCTCGAACACTAAGTCCTTTTATTCTGAGCTTGACAGATTCAGTCACAACAGTCCCAAATAATACTATAAAGAACTAAATCTCTGGCTCGCTAGGTTAGAAGTAGTTATGAGTTTGTAGAAGAAACAGAAGATTAATCCCTCTTCTTTTTAGGCTGCATATAACGGGCCACTGTCTAGGTAAAGTGGTGTGTTTGAGTTTCCTTCCTGTGCAGGAAGTAGGTGGGCGGGGCTTACAAATACAGAACACCACATGAGGAGGAGAACAGCCTCTACTGAATAAACCAGCTGGAAAAATACAACTTTTTTGGTGTTTAGTACATTTAACATGAAAAGGCAGATAAATATTATAATTTATAATACATTTGTTTAAATATTTGTATGCAGTGTTTTGTTTTGTATGGAGGATAATAATCCATATAGATTAGAATTATTAAACATATTTTTTTTCTACACTAGTAAATCATTTATATACAATTTGACATCATTTACATAATAAGTTAATTTAAAAAAATGTGAGGAGTCACTCGAAAGCTGAACACTAACTAATCCAAAGAATCGGAAGTCTGAAAAAATTACACAAAGTACCCTTTGCAGCTTTCTTTGTTTATGTAGAAAAACGGTCCAAAGACAGTTTGGAAATGGCCTTAGGGCTCAACCGTTTCAGCTCTAAGCTCATTGCTGATATGTTTCCATGTTGCTGTTGTGTGAAAACACACCTGAACGCTCCAGGGCAGCAAACTGTCAGAACTCTGGCTTTTACTGAGCTGCTTACGCAGATGACGACCAGTTAATCAAACCATACTGACTGTTTGGGTGTTTTTAAACAGAAGAAATTTAAAAGCAATCACAACTGAAACAAAACCTGCTGCAAAAAGATGCAAACAGTACGTAGTTTGTCTTTTTTCTAATATAAAAGCACCAAAAAAGTAATTGTGAAATAAAAACAAAAAAATATTAAAAACAAGGGGAGAGTTTAGTTGTTTTTTTAACTTGATTTCATATTTGTGAAATACTTAATGATGTTTTGTTTATTTTTGTTCACTTAAGTTTAAATCTAATTGATTTTAGAACCAATCATATTTTTTTTACGTTATATTGTGATAAAACACTAAACAATGCTGTACTTCCATTCCAACGTCATCGTATTCATCCATTCTCTCTTTGTTTTTAGCTATTTTTTCATACTGAGGACATTTAGCTCTAACATTTTGTGCTTCATTATATCAGGATGAGAAGCAGCTGCATCTAAATGAAGAATTAGCTCAGAAACACAGCTTCTCAACAATGCCTTCAAAATAACAGCCTCTGCTGCTGGAAATGATTCTCCGTCTTTTCTTCCTCTCTGCTCTCCACCACACGGATCCAGCCCCACACACACACACACACACACACACACCCTCACACACACATCCTCTGAGCAGCATCAGCCCCCCCTCCTCCTCCTGCTCCCTCTCCTCTTTGCTGTGCTGCTTCTATAATTCAAATTCTGTCATGCTTGTTCCAGACTGCTGGCTCCAGCCCCCACCACCACCACCGCCTGCCTCCCTTCCTCCATCCCCCTCCTCTTTCTCTCCTAGAGAAGAAAAAGCGTTTGAGAAAAAGAGTTCTTTGAGGGACAAAGCTGACAGAACCTCACACAGACAAATACAGCAGCACCAACTAAACGGCAAATGTGGAAAAAGGACGTGCAAGCTGTGCACCACCATCTCTCTCTCTCTCCGTCTCTCTCTCATTAGTCCAATTTTTTGCATCTTTCTTCATCCCTGATTTAAGTGGAGGAGAAGATTGCATTCCTGGATCGCTTTAATTACCCACTTAAAAAGGTACTCTACCAGTTTAAAGTGGCGCTTCCGTGCGGTCACAGAGACAGGGATCAATTAGGAATGATCAAACACATCCCACACTTCCCACAATGCAGCAGGGGGTGTTAACACTAACTTATCATCTCTGGATATGTATTAGATGGATGTCATAGATGAGCTGCTTTAGCTTAGCTATGACCAGGAGTTCTTTGCACATATTCTTAATGTTTGCAGGTTTATTTAGGGCTCTAGCATTAAAACCCAAATTATGATCAAATCTGCATGAATTAGTCTGCATGTAGGGGGCAGTAACGAGCTCCTCCACACATGAAAAGCTCGAGGATCCAACTCTCAACCTTTCGGGTCATAAAGCAGCCTAAACTTCCCTTGCTCTTTATTCATTCTACTGGATGAACGGGAATTCATAATTTTTTGTTTAAATGGATTTGCTTCTTTCTTGCTTTATAGATTATAGGTATTAAAGTTTATTCCTCAGGTATAAATATAAATCCTACTATTTAAAAACACTTCTATAGCAGTTACAGTCTCAACATAAGCTTTATACTCAAGTAAAAGTAAAATTTTTAAAACTAATTAAAGTATAAAAGTAAAAGTAAGGTAGGTACAAATGTTAAGGACAGAAGATGTTAAAGGAACATTTTTCTACAATTCTGGATGATACTTTCCTTATACTTAAGTTTCCTTGTTTTCATTCGTAATGCTAACAGTGTCAAATTTATCTTTACATCATATTGGAAAACTATTTATTTTGGTATGCGGTCAGCAACAAGTTGGGGCAGCACCAACCAAGAAATTTTCTGGATGAAACAAATTATTTCGATGTTGTTGTTTTTTTAAATACCAACAGATCATAACGAAAATGAGCTTAAATTACAGAAAACTAACAAGTCTGTTTTTAAAATGTAAGGAGTAGAAAGTAGAGACAATGCAAAACATGTAAGGGAAAGAAGTTAACAAGTTGTCTAAAACATAATTACTCCAGGAAAGTGTAGATATCCATAATTTCTACTTAAGTAAGGTAGCAAAGTATTTGTACTTTGATTCTTAACACCTCTGTTCATAACATAACATAATGGGTTTGTCACACTGGCTTCAAAGTGAATCCAGCTTTTGTGATAGACCCCAAACCATGTTCCTTTTTCTGAGGTAAAGGTTGGTAAATGTGTGGAATCTGAGGAAAGTCAGACCTCTGTCACACTGATATACATCAATATATCATCAACATAACCTACATTTAGTAAGCCTTAAGCTTTAGCATCTCAGCCTATAAAGATCCACTTAGAAATTCAATTCAGTTTATTTCTATAGTGTTAATTCACAACACATGTCATCTTAAGGCGCTTTACAGTTCAACCAGATCATACAGTTAAATTGATTCAAAATTTTCTATCTAAGGAAAACCAGCTGATTGCATCGACTCATTGACTCTTCAGCAATCCCTCACACTAAGCATGCTTGTAGCGAC